CGGCGGACTCGGAGGCAATTTGGACCATCTTGTGCCATCCTGGAGGCCATCTTGGGCCAACGTGACCATCTTAGAAGATAGGACGCCGTCTTGGAGATTTGTTTGTGGACGCCGTGCTCGTTTGGGAGCCTTCCGCGTGGCCGGCGCGCTGGGCTCAAGCCCCAGAGGGAGTTCTTTTTGAACAAGAACCAAAACGAAGCCGTAGGGTTCAGCATGCCAGGCACCCTTGTGGCAAGACCACCGGGGGCGGCGGATCGAGTGGCCTTCGGCCCAATCTGCCACCGTGCCTGGGCTGTAGGGCAGGAGCCTCTTGGATGCATATTTGGGTTCGTTGGAGTGCCTCTCGTTCCCATGGTGTTATTTTTTCTCCAACAAGGCTCCATCGTGTTATTCGTAATCGGAAAAGGTGAGTTGCGTACACTGGAGGAGGAGGTGGTGGATGAGCAGGAATATGAGCAGTATTTCGTAGAGCGAGGCGCCAAGCAGCCGATGCGAGCTTAGGCTGCACCCGAGCCTGCGGGGGGCGCGCCTCGTGGCGCCCTCACCGCCAGCCCCTGGGTCAGCCTTCCGAGGTAGAGCCGCCCTGTCCTTGTAGGAGGGCGGCACTGGAGGAGGAGTTTCCCCTCCTCCCTGAAATGGTGTGTGCCGAGCCCCCCGCACACTTCACACGCCAGAACACGCTCCCGCCCAGCCCCCCTCCCCACGTCAAACCACCTCAAGACGTGTGACGGGTGCGCCCTAAGGCCCCGCCTCTCGGGGCCCGCCGCACGGCCGAGGGCAGAGGGGCCTGGTCTGCAGGTCTGTTTCAGCCAGTGAATTAGAACTCTCTTGCCTCTGGCAACGGGTTCAGACTGGCACTCGAGACACCTCCACCGCCTCGGATGGACGGTGTGACAGGTTTCGGCGCGCGCGGCAGAGAGGTCGAGCAACGGTGTCTTACCTCGCCCCGTCTCTGCGGGGCCTTCAGCGCGGACCGAGGGGGTAAACGAAGCCGTGATGGCCAAGATCCGTCGTCGAATTTGCTTAGCCTCTTCCTCGAGCTCTGGAAGGGACTGGGCCTCAGAGTCGGGTACTTGCGCGGGGCCCGAGAAGCGATCGGCCAGCCGATCCGCGGCCTCGTTGACCGCCGACAAGTTCAGAAGCTCTCGACTCGCCGCCAGCTGCTCGTCTTCCGTGAGGTGGCTGGCGACTTTGACGACCTGAACGTCCCGCCCGTCGAGGAGGCTCTTGACGGACCTCCACAGGTCCTTGTGGCATCTCGGGGACCACCTGCCTCGTCCGAGCTTGAAAAATCCACGGACAACGTACAGCGAGTCCGTAATATAACCGAGGTCTCTCGCAGGCGTCGCAGCGAGGGCCTCCCGGAAGGCCAAGAGTTCCCCGCGGTTGATGCCCTGCCTCGGACCAGGCAGGGAACCTCCAAAGCCCCCCGTATTGGTGGGCTTATCTTTTGAGAGGTGGGGGTCCACGCCAAAACTGCAGGAGACAACCGCCCAAGAAATCCTTCTCAGACGCGGGTGCTTGCTATACTTCCCCCCCGACGCAGCGCCTCCAAGCCAAATCCTGCCCCGGCTCACGAGTGGCCCCAGGCGGGGGTGCTCAAAAGTGGTCGGGGGCGGCGGGTCAGGAGGGGTGATACTAGGGTCGAGGTTGCATTGAAGATCGTCCGTCGGCTCCGTGAGCCGAGTCCACGCGGCAGGGATTAAGCCACGGAGCCAATAGCATGGATGCGCAACATAGCCTGCCTTCGCCTGATCGGCGAGGTGATTAGATCCTTGGCACTCTTCAATAAGAGAGTTGCCAAGGCATTCCCAGACAGTGTGAAAATCCAGGAAGTGTCCGGTTCGGGCCGGTTCGGCGGCGGACCGGTTCGGTTGCAGCGGTTCGATTTCGGCGCCGGTCCGGTTTTGGTCGGTCCGGTTTTGCCAGTCCGGGTCGGTTATGCCGGTTCGGTTCGGCGGTCGCGGGACGGTCCGGTTTTGGGGGGGCCGGTTTTGGGCCGGAGGAGGAGAAGGAGGAGGAGGAGTGAGGAGGAGGAGGAGGAGGAGGAGGAGGAGGAGGTTTAGGAGAGGTGCTCGGCGAGGTGCCTCGCTGCAGTCGTCGTCGCCGTCGTCGTCGTCGTCGTCGTCGTCGTCGTCGTCGTCGTCGTCGTCGTCGTCGCGTCGTCGTCGTCGTCGCCGCCGTCGTCGTCGTCGTCGGGCGCCCCCGGACCTCTCGGCCCCTTCCCTCATGCCGCTCTTCCCCTCGTCTCCGCGGCCCCGGGGCCGGAAAACGCGGGCCCCCGGGGGCCCGGAGAGGAGGGCGGGGTTCGGCCGCCTGGAGCTGCTTTGCCGCCTGGAGGAGGAGGGAGGAAGGGGAAGAGGAGGAGGAGGGAGGAGGGGGTCCTTGCTTCCCCCCCCCCGCGCCCTGCTGCACCCCCGAGGGGGGGCCGGCACCGGGGGGGGGGGGGCCGGCACCGGGGGGGGGGGGCCGGCACCGGGGGGGGGGTGCCGGCACCGGGGGGGGGGGGCCGGCACCGGGGGGGGGGTGCCAGCACCGGGGGGGGGTGCCCCGGCACCGGGGGGGGGGGGGGCCGGCACCGGGGGGGAGGGGGTGCCGGCACCGGGGGGGGGGGGGTGCCGGCACCGGGGGGGGGTGGGCCGGCACCGGGGGGGGGGGCCGGCACCGGGGGGGGGGTGCCGGCACCCGGGGGGGGGGGTGCCGGCACCGGGGGGGGGGGTGCACCGGGGGTTGGGGTGCCGGCACCCCCCGGGCCGGTGGGGAGTCCCGGGGCCCTGTTCGGTTCCACCCGGTTCGGGCTTGCCGTTCGGGCCGGTTTCGACCGGCCGGTTCGGTTCGAACCGCCCGGTCCTGTTTCAGCCGGTCCGGTTCGGGCTCCGGTTCGGGCGGTTCGGTTGCAGGAGCCGCTGGTTCACGGTTACCAGTTCGGTTCGGACTCTTCTTGAAAATCGGTCTCTGGGCACCTCTGGCAACGACGACACAGATTGGACTCGATTTTCACACCCGCTTGCTCAAGACGGCATAAAGACCAAAAGCCCGCAGTCGAGAGGTTGGCCAAACCCCCTCGCAGCTTATAGGCTCCTTTCCGTTCCAGAGCTCGCATGTGGCTGAGGAGGGCCGTGGTGTCGGCTCCTTCTTCCAGCCCTCGTCCATTATGGTGCTCAGCAGCGGCCTTCCACAGGCCCACCTGGAGGGTTTCGTGAACGAGCCCCAGGATGGTGGACCTATCGGGGTCTTGGTCCCAGGCGCCCTCCGAACCCATCGAGTAGAGGTCGCCACACGGGTGCTTCCAGGTCCAGGGCCCCTGCGGATCCCAGCCAGCTGAGCGCAAAACGTGGATGGTGCCACTGATGATGCCATTAACTTTTAGCCAGCGCCGTCTCGGCTCGGCGTCAGCCAAGCCGGCAGCGATTTTGGGCCAGACTCGAGTGGCGCGTTTCCTCAAAAGCGGGGAGGAGGCCATTAATTCAAGCCACGTCTGGACAGTGCTGGTGGGGAGAGCTACTCCCGGGTCACGCTCACAGTAATCTAGATGGAGCGCGGTCGTAAGGCATCGGCCCTTGGCCTTGGACGTGACAAAGTGACCGAGCATGCGACGGAGCAGCTCGAGCGGTCTGGGGGCGAGCGGGAGGACCTTAGCGCGGTAGCCTACTCTGGGCAAGATTCCCGTGGAGGCCACGCGACGGGCAGCTCGCGACCCAGCCGCCCAGCTCGTCAGCTTACGAAGCTTCATGGCTTGAAACTTCCCCAAACGTGACCTAGCTCTGTGTTTGAAACTCCGAAAAAGGCGGAGGTGGCCTCGCTCAATGCCTAAGTCCGCGCCTGCACCCTCGCTCTTGACCGAGATGCCCTGGTGACGGAGGGCCGTGACAAGATCCAGCGCGAGGCTCCGATCACAGGCAATCACAGCCGACTTCGAGGAGAGCCTGAGCCCGTCGGCCTTGAGGTCAGCGGCGAACTGGACGGCGGCAGCGGACAGAGTCGGCACGAGCGTTTTCCGACCCCCCTCCATGCGAAAATTAACATCGTCGACCCAAGATTTGGCGACCACTCCCCTTGGGAAGTAATTCTTGTGAATGCGCTCGAGGGTGGGATACAAAAAGGCAGCCGCCGCGTTTTTCGCCGAGAGGCAGCCTGCTGCTATGCTAAGGGACGGGTCGATCGGGAAGCTCACCGATGACCTATCTCGGAGGAGCCGGGGCCCTAAATAAGTGAGCGCCGACAGGCCGATGATTGTGGGGGAGTAGTCGAGGTCCAAGCAGCGGTCTATACAGAGCCCCACGTCGAGGGAATCGTAGAACTCCTCGACATCGAAAAGAATGAAAAGGTGGCTGACGCCCATGGCGTCGCACGATTCGTCCATGAAGTGGCGGCTGACAGCTGCTCGCAAAGCACTACTGCCTCGGATAGCTTCGTCCCAGAACCCCGCCCGCCCATCCAACCACTCCCGGGGAATCTCATTCCGAAGCAGACTCCAGAGGCGGGTGAGCCAGACCAGCAAAGCAATGGCCCTCTCTCCGCCAGCATCTTTTGGGATGAGCCCCATCAGGGCAGGCAAAAACTGCCAGGGCCAGGCCACGTTGGCCTCGGCCCGGTGGAACAGGTCGAGCAGGGCCCGCTGGCCCTCGGGGCCAATCTCCTGGATGTCTCGAGGACCCAAGTTATCGATGCCTCGGCCCGTCTGGACTGGGACCAGGGCGAGGCAGGTCTGGAGGTGAGGCAGGGTGAGAGGAGGCAAGTGCTCGTCCCTGGCCAGGGCCTGGGCGCGGTCCAGAGCACATTTGATCCTGGTCCAGGCTCGGTCGGGCGAAGGGGCGGTCCACTTTGTAGCCTAGCGCTCCCTTTTCAAATCCATGGCGGCGAGCGGGCTGCTCGTGGGGCCACCTGGAAAAATGATTTCGTGAAGGGCCCGCGGGGGAGGTTTCGTATATCTATGGAGCTGGCCTACACGGCCACTAAAAGCCTCCTCAACCCACATGCGAAATTTGCCGAGCGACGTCCTGGCTGCCGCCTGCTGGGCGGTGGCGGCGTTGATCCTGGTCGCCTCCAGCAGGATGCCAAGATCCTCCGGCGTCAATTCGGCCGCCTTGCTAGGCCAAGCCTGCCAGGACTTCAGGGAATCACAAGACAGGTTAAGGGCGGGGCCTGTAGGGACACTGGAGGCTCTCTGCTGCAACTTCGAGACGGCCTCAGCCCCCCGGGGCGAAAGACAGGTGGCAGGAGGAGGGGAGGAGGGAGGAAACGTAACGAATTTCCCCCCCCCCCCCCTCTCTTAAAGCATGTTCGGCGACCTGGACAAATTGGAGGAGCTCGCCCCACCATTGAGCGATGGGGTCAGTATATCTCCTCGGTTGGTCGCGACGGCTAAGGTGGGTGGTGCGGGGAGGGGCGAGTTTGGCCCTGCCCAAAAACTTAGAACGTTGGTCCTGCGGAATTTCCAAAAATTGGACCGAAACCAATTCTAAAGTCGACACCCACTGCGAAAAAAACATCGCCGAGCCTGGTGGCCGCGCGGGCCGTCAGCTGGAAAGCCCAGGAGCTCCTGATCCAGGGCGGGGCCCGAGGGTGAGATCGAGGTTCAGAGTGAACCTTTTGCCACAGCCCATCGCGCTCCTCCATGGTCCAGACTCGGGTCGCCTCGACGCTGGGCTCGGGCACCGGCAGGCCGCCCCAGGAGCGGTGCAGCAGCTCGGGGAACTGCACGTCCATGGGGTCGGGCGGCGCCTCGTCGTCCTGGTGTGCGTTGATCTGGATGTCCTGCTCTAAGGCCTCCTGGTCCAGCATCCGGTCGAAGTCGAAATCCTCGTGGAAATCGAAGGGGTCCGTTCGAGGTGGTGGATAAGAGCTGGCTGAAGCTTGGGACAAACTCATGTCGGGGATGGTGGTGGCCAAGTTCTTCCGGCTTCGCTCCGGGAGCCCAACGCCAATAGGAGGGGCTCGCTCTCCTTCAACTTTCGGTGGCTCCTGGGTTGCAGCCTCTCTGCGGGATGAAGAAACTCTCTCTGCTTGGTGTCTGCGCTTCCGTGAGCGCTTGCTATCAGGGTCTGGCTGTCGCTTCGGTCGCGGTGGGTGGGTGAGTCGTTGGGGTCGGTCAAGTACGCGGATCTGGGCATCAGTGGCATCGATATCGAAGGTGACGACTATGGCCTTGTGGTCTGCACCTGCCTCATAAGCCTTCACTGACTCCACCCAATCACTTGCAGAGTGGGAGACCAGGCAGTAGTCCAGGATCTGAAAGGGGGGCCTGCCGCAGGTCCAAGTGGTATTTGTTGGGGCTCTGACCGTGCCCCCTAGCAACTCGGGCCACTTCGAATTCCTGAGATCTGCCGGCGGGATGTTCCAATCCGCGGTGATGACGAAGGGGAGAGGAACCAATCCGAGGAAAGTTCAAAAGTTTGGTCTGGTTTATGCCACCAAGCTTTTCGCCCGGTGTAAGGTACAAGGTGATTGTCAGCAGCTCCCGACCTCCAGGTAAAGAGAGAACGAGCGGTGCGAAGTCCCAGAAATCTATTGGCCCACCTGCAGGGATGATGCCCTTCAACAAACCAGCTCCTGTCTGCTGGTCAGGTCGCGCTGCCAGGTGTCGAAAAGAGTGGCCCTGGACGTGACGGCGCAGGCCCGACATTGCTCCACCTGCAGCTTTGACATGGCGAAAAGGACGAGGAGGGCACACCACAGCGCGCCAGCCGAACTTGTCCGCAAAATCGACTATCTCGTCAGAGGCTTCCCAATGTGTTTCTACCAAGCCGAAGATGTCTGGGGTGATAGGGTCGCTAAGGTTGCCGTTGTCGTCGATTGGTTGGAAGGCCGTCTTTTAGCTTCTCTTTGGAAGTTGGGCCCCATTTGGTAATATTGTTGAAAAAGAAATGCACTCGCCGAGTCGTAGTAGTGCCTGGTGCCATTGCGCGACCAGCCCGTGCATGCCGCTTCTTTGTTGGCGTTACTGACCGGGTGTGTTTTCTATTAGCCGCAGTCGCCGAAGTGACCTCGGGCCCCGAAAGATGTTGCAAAACCGAGCTGCTACCCGCGTGCTGGAGTGGCGGCCCCCGCCGCCTTGGCGCCATCACGTGCCTGAGCCAGGAGCTTTGCCACGCTGTCTGGTGACGCTTTCGGCAGGGCCTTCGCTGGTGGGGCCTTACTTCCACCTGCCCCAGAAGACGGTGCCGAGGCGGAAGCTGGCGCGCCTGCGGCAGGTGGCGGGCCTGACGGGCCCGCCTTTGCCACTGGAGCTGCTGGCCCTTGAAGCTCCGGCGGCGATGGGGCCACTCCCAACCCGCTGGCTTCGGTGCCGTTGGCGTCTCGTTGGGGGCCTGTGGCAGCAGCCGCGCCTTCTCCCACTCGACGCTTCTTGATCGACATGCGGGCCTTGAAGTCCATGAACTCCTGTTTCCTGGCTGCAAGCTGGGCTGCTGCGGGGCCCACTGCCTGTACGATGAGCTGCTTGACCTCCTTCGCCAGGGAGGCCTTGTGTTGTTGCCAGTTGTCGATGTCCTCCGGCGAGAGCTCGAGCTCCGAATAGTTGAACGCGTCACCGTCTTCCAATTCGAAGAGTTGGTCGAGGCTGTCCCCGTCCGCCGCGAGGACCGCCGAGAGGTTGAGCTTGGAGGGGGTTGTGGCCGCTGGGTCCTGTGCGGGCCTTGCGTCCTGCTGCTTGATGCGCTTGAGGTCCTCCTCCAGCTGCTGCTCGTGGGCGAGGCGAGCGTCGGCCGCCTCCTGCGCGCACTGCTGGACGGTGTGGCGAGCCCGCTCCAGCCAGTGTTCGCATTCCTGCTCGTGGCCGAGGGCTCGGGCCAGGGCCTCATCAGCCTTGCGAGTAGCCACCGCCAGCCTCTGAGCCTCGCGTTCACGCTCGAGGTGAGGCTTCGGTGGGGGCTGGGGCGGCTGCGCGGGGCCCTGGGCCGCAAACGCGACTGCATCCAGCTGCGCGCTGGCCTCTGGGACGCGTCGACGCAGGGCCTCCAAGAGCTGGTCTGTGGTGGGGGCGAACGGGTGCACCCCATCAGCCGTCGCGGCCATGGCCGACATGCTGGTAGCTGGCGGCGCTGGAGTAGACCACTGTCCGGGAGGATGCGAAGAGAAAGGACTGGCGTTGGCGAGCGCCGGCGGGCCCCGGGCCCAGGCGCCTGCGTCGCGGGGGGGCGGCTGGCCTCCGACGGGGCGTAGGGCACCTCCGCGCTGCCAGCAAGACGTATGCTTCTTCCAGTTCCACTTGTAGCGGCAGCCGTCATGAGGGCAAGCCACGAAACCACGAGCTGCATGCTGCGGTTTCCCCATGGCGGCGGCGGGCGGCCAGCGCGCAGCCTAGCCGTTGGTGTGAAAGCTGTGCACCGTGGGGCGGACCACGGCGCACTCTGCCTGGGGCTGACCAGGCGACAGTTGAAGGCAAGCCGCGGTAACAGCGGTATCCAGTTTGGCACAAAGGCGCGGAGCCCTCCTGTGCAGCAGTCTTGAGCCAAAATGGCTTGAGCCAAAATGGCTACGGACACAGGAATATGAGCAGCAGGAGGAGGAGGAGGAGGAGGAGCAGGAACAGGAGCAAGGACGAGGACGAGAACGAACAGCAGCAGCATGAGCTGGACAGGAAGGAGCGGGAGGAGCAGGAGGGTCAGGGCAAGGCGGAGTAGGGGGAAGGATGGAGGGAGGCAAGGAGGGAGGCGGCACAAATGAGGAAGGACTCGGTTCCAGAAAAGTGGCCCGCTCTGGGGCAACCGTGCCATAGTGAACGGCGGGGGCAATGACGCTGCAGCGGCAGCACCATTTTGAAGGACCGATCGTGACCGGGTTGTAAAACACAGTATACGGGATATCAACGTTTGAACCTTGTCTACAAGCACTACGCACTACGCGGAGAGGGTGGGTCAACTTCCGCACTGGGCCAGGGGAGAAGGGGACGTAACATTCATATTGAATAATTGTGGATGGATGAGGGGTGAGGGATTGGAGGGGGGAGAAGACTCCTCGACTCTGGGCTGGCCTGGAGCACGCCCCGCAGGGGCCTCATGTCAAATGACGACGGTCGGATTTTCCTGATTTGAGGACCGTTTTCGGTTTGGCTCAAGTCGATCGATCTTGTGGGAAGCCTCAGTTCACAGAGTGCAAGGTGCAGACGTTGTGTGAGCGCCATGGCCCGCGTGTCATTCGCCATGCTGTCGCTCGGGGCAGCGCTGGCCACTGAGGAGACCACGGCAAGCTTGCGGGGCTCTGCTGCGGCGCGACGCCTGGAGAGCTGCACCGCGGACGCGAAGCCATGCGCAGCCCCGCACTCCAACTCGGCTATCCAGCTGCCTGCGGCACTCCCCGCCACCGTGCCAGCCCAGCGCCTGGGATGGCGATTGCTCGAAAGATCGCGCCAACGAAGCACTGGTGGGGGGGGTCAGTGCATGCATTGAAGCGTGGCGTGCGCGCATTGAACCCCGCCAGACAGTGCTTCACACCGTAGGTTATCCACATCGTGCAGGCACGGTGGCGGATCTGGTGCTTCGAGGACCCGACCTGCCCAGGGCAAGGGTGCGTCGAGGATTCCGGCTGCCGGTACTGCGATGCCTCGGCGATCGGCGGGCCATCGTACGATGGTGAGGCGTGCCCTTCGCCAGCGCCGTCTTCGGGCTGCACTGCGGACGCGAAGCCTTGCGCAGCACCGCATGCCAACTCGGCTATCTGGTGCTTCGAGGACCCGACCTGCCCAGGGCAAGGGTGCGTCGAGGACTCGGGCTGCCGGTACTGCGATGCCTCGGCGATCGGCGGGCCATCATACGATGGTGAGGCGTGCCCATCTATCCAGTCTCTCGGTGCCGCACTGGCCGCCGACGAGGGCTGCGACGGGATGACCTACACGAGAAACTACGCCGAGGGCACACCGCACGAGTGCAGGTGCGACAGCTACTGCGACGACTTCTGCGACGATGGGCCGAATGGCTGCGCCAGGACGTGCAGGATCTTGAACGGAGTTTTCGAGCACATCCCGTCCGTACATGCAGGCGACCGTACTTGCACCTGGTACGCGCACTACGTGACCAACCCGATAAACTACGAGGGCTACGATTGCTCGTGGATGACTGGCACTGGCGAGGGCGGCCATGGAGACGATTGTCAAGATTGGACGTCCGTTGGCGCCTTGAAGTGCCGGGAGGGAAACCAGAACCAGAACAATTGCCACTTCTAATCATGGTGAGTGTTCCCGAGGAGAAGGTCTTCCCGATTTCAGAAATTTTGTGGTGGGCGAAGGGGTTGAGATGCATTGTACCCAGCTTTTCCAGGCTCAGTCCACTGCCTCTTCCAGCCAAGAGCGTGCGGAAGAGAGTACAGAGAGCATGATTCGTAGATGATGGAGATACACTAGCATCCTACCAGTGCTTCCCATCACCAAAAGTTTGGACCGTTGTGGGGGTCTGGGGCACTTCGCAGACGTGCTGTTCGCACAAACCGCAGCTGTAGGAAATCTTGACGCCTTTGCGCCCCATCCAGAAACGATCCCCAATCGAGGTACCTTGATCAGGAACGCAAGGCTGCATGCAGCCCAGGAGCGAACCATACATGTCTCCGTGGGTCTTTCGAAGGACGTGGAGGGAGAAGGAGAAGGCTGAGGAGGAGGAGGGGCCAGCGTAAGGAAGAGGGCTTTAACAAAAGACGCTCCCACTCAATATCCGGGGAGTCCCCGGTTTGAGGAGGGGGAAAAGAAGATATGAGGAGAAGGAGGAGGGGGAGGAGGAGGAGTAGTAGTAGGAGGAGGAGGAGGAGAAGGAGGCGGGAGGACGAGAAACAGGAGTTCTTGGATGAATATGAGGGTCTCTTGGGCTGCCTCT